AAGGAACTACATAGAACAGACTAGCAAACGGATATAATGTGCAATGGGGAGAACTGGTGAACTGAAGATAGCTTATAGAACTAAGATAATCTACAACAGAAAAAAATATAAGGAACTACATAGAACAGACTAGCAAACGGATATAATGTGCAGTGGGAAGAATATGTGAACTGCAGAATATATATTATAGAACTAACAGAATAAAACAACACAAATATTAAGGAACTACATAGAACTATGTAGCACAGACTAATAGACTGATAGAATGTGCATTCGGGAAAATAGTTAAACTGTGGAAGAAAAATTACGTAACTTGCATAATATACAACAGAAAGAATAAAGTAACAACATTGGACAAAAAAAAAAAAATCATAAAAATGTCCAGTGGAAAGAATAAGTCACCACAGAGAAAGAAAAGGAAAAAGAGTAAAAGGGTAGGAGTGAAAGATGAAAACGCAAACAGTGAAGTAGGAAAAAAAATATCCCAACGTGCGACAGAAAAAGAACACACACAATTTCCACGAATTGTCTTTCAAGAAAAAAGTATAGAATTTACAATTTTAAATGTAGAAGTATTCAATGGCAGTTTAATGAGTACAATTTCACAAACTATGTCAGAGTTTTAAGGCAGACATCCACTTCATGCATACATTAATATTCACAATATCCCACAAAAAAAGTTCACATGGGTCAACTCAATTGTCACTCCGTCCTTCTTGCAAGCGCCACCCGTAGGGGCGCGCCAGGGCGGCTGGTATAGACCAGGTTCGTGTGTTGTTGGAACTTTGTAAATGGCAGGGGTTGGAGCAGTTAAACACATATCCGTCATGCGGGGCGCCGAGTTACGGGTATTGACGGAAGCAAACCACGGTGATTTACGACTGTGCTGATTGGCGATTCCGGTGCCAAATTTCGGTGATTTGGTCTCATTTCGTCGTAAGCGAAATAGTTGCCTTTCACGCGATGTTTAACGTTACACGCAACACGCACCACACAAAAGGCTGATCATTGTTGTGGAATCTGGCAGGCCTTTGAAATGGCATGCAGCTTTAAAACCGTTTTTTTTTTTAGGTATTGACTGGTGAGCGTTAGAGGGGACAGAAAGACGTTGAGATCAGGAGACGTACTGGACAGTTCGGTTCTTCCTCAGTCATTGAGATGTCGTCTCCACTTTCAAGGATGGTCACCACTGATTTCCAATACTCTTCTCTCTCTCTCTCTCTCTCTCTCTCTCTCACTCTATTTCTCTCTCACTCTCACTCTCTCACTCTCTCTCTCTTACTCTCTTTCTCTCTCACTCACTCTCTCTCTCACTCTCTCTCTCACTCTCTCTCTCACTCTCTCTCTTTCTCTCTCACTCCCACTATTTCTCTCTCGGTTGCTGTATATTTTTGTGAACTGTTCCTTCTTCTTCATCTTCCGTCCGAGTGGCGCAATTCCATTGTGTCTGTTTACAGCATTGTTGCGATATTTGCGCCCTTCGACCGAAGTATACGACTTCATCGAGCATTTATTCAACGGCTTAGTCTTCCCGGGTAGTTTCCTGAGTCGTGACACAGCTCAGAACCAGAAACAGTTCCTCACAACAAACATTTCTAAAACGTTAATTTTTTGTTTAAAAAAGCCCACACATGAGCATATTGTGAACATCCTGTGAAACGCTTACGATGTGGTTGTAATCGCATAAAATAAAACACAACTGCAAGAAATGATGGATATAATTATAATGGAAAGTGAAATTAGGGTTTTCATTCGAACAGCAGAAAGACTAAAGTAATGGTTATTACAAAGAAAACTGACCCTCCAAAAGGCACCCGAGTCAATGGATTAACAACGCATGGTTTCTGGATATTAAAAAAAACAAGACTTGATAACTTTAGATGGAAGATATATTTAAAGAAGTTAAACGTCGAATAGCTCAGACAAAAGCAGCATTTCACAAAATGAAGAATATTAATGCAATCTTTCTTTGTCAATTAAGACGAGAAAGAGAATTCTTGAAAGCTATATAAATCATATCTTGATATACGGAAGTGAATCATGGACAGTTGGTAAATTAGTGGAAACTTATTTGGAAGCTGTGTAGGTGTTATTTTTATAGACTAATGATGAAAATACTCAGATAAAAAAAAAAAAAAAAAAGAGTAATGAAGACGTTTTGAGGAAAACTGACCCATGAAGAGAACTAACTGCCCACATCAGAAAGAGACAATCTACATTCCTTGGTCACGTGACGAGAAGGAGAAAACTGGAGTACATCGTGACAGTAGAAAAGTTGGAGAAAAGTAGAGGCAGAGGGAGATCAAGAAAACAGATGTAGACAGTTTGACAAAAGTTTCTACATGCAAACTTAAAGGCGGTAATTGCCCGGCTCTCTAGCGTAGTTGGCTAAACCGGATTGCGCGGTGACCGGGTGACGAACTCCTTGTGGTCCGGGTTCGCTCCCGGGATAGGCAGAAAAGCCACATTTCTCCCAGATTTACGGTATTTACAGTGGAATCAAGGCCGAAAGGTTGCGATATCCATAATACCGAGCCTAAGGGTTAACAACTCATGGCTTCTGGATACTAAAACAAACAAACAAAAGCGGTAATTCGTTATTTAAAAAAAAAAAACTAAAAATTAACATTGGCTTTGAAACACGAACTCCCAAATAAAACCACAAAACATTAACCTCCACATCACAAACTAGTAGCTTAACGCTGCAATACTTCTGCTTCAATAACTAGGCCACGAATATAAAATCAAAAACGTGTCCAATCACAACGGGCAGCGCAACAAAGCCAACGAAAGTAAACGTGATCGCCAACAATAGATCATTACCATATGTCACGGCGATCAGGACACCCATTTAACTCCAGGTTGCTCAGTATCGTCTGCCAACCGCATGATTGCCACTAAAACCCATCCCGGCGAAAACCAATCGACCAACTACTGAAATAAAATTCTATCTCCCATTGTACTCAGATCAGATAGGAAACAAAGCGATAAGTTTTGGTTGCAACCTCAACAGAAACCTGACAACCCAATCTGTTGGATTTATATAGGAGACAAAGACGACATTAAAAAGTTGATGCCCCGGTGTTGGAAAGCAAACAATATTTGTAATTTCAGGCCAGTTGTTACCGAAAAGCTATAAATTCGCATTTCTCATGATGGGATCAAAATCGGTAATCGTTGGTGGGGATATGTGTAAACAACAAAACGTGGTCACGCAAATGTTGAGAAGACATCGGTCGCCATTTTCATCACGTTCTATAAGAAGTAAACAGAATCTGGACACCGAGGAGACTACTTGACCGGCATGGACAGGCCATTATTTTTCGCCTCAAGACAGTGCTTAGCAAACTTAACACCATATGCACAGGTTTGATCTAAGTAGTTCACCACTGTGTCTATGTAGGTTGTGTGTGCAAATTTTAAGTTTGTCCACTGTACAGCTACGTCTGAATATGTAAAGATTAGAGAGGTTATACAGTACCTTAAGTAAGGAACAACACCAACAACAACGCTTCGACTAACTGACGCACAGCGGTGACAGTAAATGAGCCCGTGTGTGACCGTGGAAATCTGTGTTACTCTATATGGTGAGGGCATCCTGTGTGTGCGTGTATGTGTGTATATGTGCGTGATGTCGTGCATATGTGTGTATGTGCGTGTTAGTGTGTGCCTTGCAGCAGGTGTTGGAGATACATCGCAGCTGTAGCATTGTTTTATCGACTGGTCACGCATGACTTAATCCAAGGCTGACCTCATGTGGTCCGGGCTGTGCTCATGTACAACATCGACAATGAGACATGTGGAATTATGGTTTCTGATGGTCTCAATCTATTTCTTGTTTTAAGTGTCGTTCATAAACCCTGATAGGCACTTGTGTGATTATGGCCAAAATAAATGTAACACAGAAACTCTGCTTTTCTGTTTTCTAATGGTCCTGATCTATTGTGTCTTCTGTCAGTGGCTGTCTACTTCTAAATGTAACCAGTTTAATGATTTTCCTTCAAGGTTTCCTTCAAATCAAGGCGGCCGGCGTGATGCTGACCACATCACCCACCAAGTGCCGATACAAAGATAGTTCTAGCCCTATATTCCCAATACGCTTAAAGGAATGGAAAAGGGACCTTTACATTACTAAATTAAGTTTACAATGAGCCTGCATGATTTTGTTTCCCAATTATTCTTGTCTATTAATTCGTGTTCTGAAATAATGGATGTGCGATTGTAGCATATATATATATATATATATATATATATATATATATATATATATATATATATATGCGTGTGTGTGTCTACATATATATATATATATATATATATATATATATATATATATATATATATATATATATATATATATATATATATATATATATATATATATATATATTTATGTATATATATATGTGTTTGTATGTGTGTACACACTCACACACACACACTAGGGGCCGCGTTATCGCAGCTGCGACTGGCTGCAACTCACAGGCGGTGTTCGAAAATAGGCGGTTCCCGGGGTTCACCCAGCCTCTAGGTAATGGGTACCATGGCGAGGCGCAGACGCCGTCTGGAGGTGACAGGTTCAATTCCCGGCACGATAACTATAACTTTCGATTTTTATGTTGTCTGGTGTGTTCTTCTATCTTTCTACTTCTTTCTATGAGTGCCGTTCACAATACTTTCTGTTACTTGATTAATTCATGTGTTAAACGGAGAAACGTCTCTGTACCTACGGAGTTTCCGGCGACACAGGCAGACAGTTTATTATCAGCTGCCCGTATTGGTGACAGAGCACTTATGGTTTAAAACCGTGTGCAATGACGCCGGTTCACATCTCGCGCGGTTTTTTTTTTTTTTGTTGTTGTAACGTTTTACAAACAAACATACGCACATAAATAATTACGCTAGACAGAACGAGTGTGCTGTTGCATTTATCTAAATATCTGAAGACTAGACCCGATATAAATATATATATAAATGAACTTTTTTTTTAATGTACTTACCTAAATATCCAAACCCTGGACCCATCATATCAGGGCTGTCTCCCATATCCTCCCCTGGCCGAAGTGCGCGCATGCGCCGTGGGTTGCGGAAGAAGTGGCGCCTGGCGCCTAGTGCGCTCAACTGTTTCATTCGTCGTTCTTTGGATCTTCGATTTTGAAACCAAACCTGTGGAATAAAGTCAGGTTGCAAGTATTTAGATTAAGTGTTATTAGAGTATTACTGTGTTTCTTATTGTCTCCACACACATACATCCAAAACCGTTTTGTTAGGCAAGTCCGCGGCCTGTCTGTGCTCACCATTTTTATTGAGTAAATTTATACATAAATTAAACTACAGTTTGCAACATATTTTTTGAAATTTTTTTTTCATTATAATTATTAATATTATTATTGTTATTTTTTCTAATGGCTCACTTAATTATCTTTAAAATTATAATTAATATAATTAAATATGCTGCAAGTTAATTAAAATGTAATTTATGTATAAATTTACTCGATAACAATGGTGAGCACAAACCGGTTGTGGACCTGCCTAAAAAAGCGGGAATTTCCGTAGACCTGTTCGACCCTACTGCTGGAGCTGACCGTGGGTGTGACAGTTAGGAGGGGGAAATTCCCGCGTTATGTTAATGACGGTATCCTAGAGGTCACAGCCCGTGAATGGGTAGAAAAAGAATAACCCAAGAATTGTGCGAAGAATGTACCAGTGGGTTTGCTCTGCATACAGTGTGTTATTTTATGTTTATTTTCTTATATAAACGTTTACAGGATACAAAAAAAACTAAATCTTTTCCCCCGCCTACTTCTCGTAAGATGGCGCTAAAACGTGCCAAGCGGTTCTAACAAAGGTAGGAGGAGCGCCTGAATAAGGCGAATAGTATCTATCAGCGTTACTGTCAGGGACAGAACAATGGTGCTATGAGAGCAGAGACGCAATAGGAAAAGTGGGAAGGGTGAACGATTTCAGGGGCGTTTATGTTTGGTTGTGATGGGGGTGAATGCTAGCCCTTGTGGTGTAACGACTAGACGCTCGGCTGTGGGCCAGAAGGTCGTGGGTTCAAATCCTAATATTTTTTGAGTCAAAATTAATTGGCTTCCTGGTACGCCTAGTTTTAAATGGGTAACTATAAAAATATATGTCTAGTACCATATATCCGAGAGCCGATGTGGTGTAGTGGCTAGATGCTTGTCTGCGAATCAGAAAGTCCTGGGTTCAAGTCCTAACGGAGCCGAACTGTTTCTTCCCCCTTAAAAAATTACCTTGCCTCTCAGGCACACTCAGCTCTAAATGAGTACCAAGGAAAGTCATGGGAAGTGAAGGCGGCCAGTGTGATGTTGACCACATCATCACCAAGTGCATATTGGTATAATATATGGGTCTACCCCTATGTGTCCAATGTGATTGAAGGCGTGAATAAGGTTACTACTTTACCTACCTTACAATACACTCAATACTTCACATAGGCATGGTGAGGGGTCTTTTTAGGTAGGGCAAAGTCTTGCCGCTACATCACGGCGGCTTATTTCTTAGGACAGGGTGTGTGAACCAAAGGTGTTGTGAGTATATTAACGGGCAAGAGTAGAAAAGAGGGAAGAGTAATGAAGAAGTGAGAGAAGGAGTGGCAATGAAGAGGCAAGTAAAAGAGGCGTACGCACGGACGGACAGAGATATAAATGCAGAAGGGAGAGAGGAATGAGAGAGTACCTATAAAAGACAAAATACAAAAGGGTGGGTGCAAGCGTAATAATACCAGAAATGTAGGGCAAGTACTGCTAAAGAGGGCAAGTAGGGAGAGACACAATGAAAGAGGGGGAATGTGAGACCAAGAGAGAGAATGAATGAGAGATCGAGTGAGGGAGAGAGATGATAAATGGGAGATCGAGTGAGAGAGTGATAGGGAATGAGAGATCGAGTGAGAGAGGGAGTGATACGAAATGAGAGATCGAGTGAGAGTGAGGGATAGCGAATGAAAGATCGAGTGACAGAGAGAGAGAGATAGAGAATGAGAGTGAGAGAGAGAGAGAGAGAGAGAGAGAGAGAGAGAGAGAGAGAGAGAGAGAGAGAGAGTATAAATGAGAGATCGAAAGAGACGGTATTTAAGATCGAGAGAGGAGGGATAAAAGATAAATAATCGAGAAAGAGAGGACTTGAGGAGCGAGAGAGGAGAGGGGATTGATAGACCGAGTGAGAGAGAGAAGGAAATGAAAGATCAAGAGGCAGACAGAAAAAGAATGTGAGAGAGAGAGAGAGAGAGAGAGAGAGAGAGAGAGAGAGAGAGAGAGAGAGAGAGAGAGAGAGAGAGAGAGAGAGAGAGAGAGAATTGTTCTATGTGTGTATGTAAGTGATTGATTTACATTCGAAGTAAGAACAATAGACCAAGTTAAAAAAAAATTAAACCAGCAACATACAGTAAAAAGAAAACAAAATAAACGCTGCTTAAATTACATGTAAAAACAAATTTGAACAGTAAAACAAAGCGCAACAGGGGCGGATCACTGTGACAGCCTAATGTTTTTATTCCGAGTTAACGTCCCTGTTTGGATGTATGGATTTCGAATTTCAGGAAAATTTACGATTGGAAAGATCTGTCTCCGGATTTCAATGGGTGTTTTTTACAAGGGGATTTAATGTTAAGCACTGTATTGTATTTATTTGTTAGCCGTACCAGGTAGCATGACTAACGCAACAAAATAAATAAATAACAAAAATGGGACACTTGAAAAAAAATAAAAATCATTAGGAGAAGAAGAAGAACAATAAGAAAGAATAAGAAGACGTAAAACAATGACAAGAAAATGCAGAATAAAAAAAAAACAAGTTCTCGGTAATAAAAACATACCTCGATTACGTAGTAGTGGTCATAGTAGCAGCCGCAGCCGCTGTGGTTGTGTAAGTAGTAAAAGAGGAAGAAAAGAGGAACAATAAAGAGCACATGGACATGGGTATAAGGAGCGAATGTAAATTCAAAGAAACAAATATCAGCGATAGAGATATAGTGTAAACATGGTTTACTAGTAAAAAAAATGGCGTGCAGAAGCGGTGAGTAGGGGAGGGGGAGGAGAAGAAGAAGAAGAAGAAGAAGAAGAAGAAGAAGAAGAAGAAGAAGAAGAAGAAGAAGAAGAAGAAGAAGAAGAAGAAGAAGAAGAAGAAGAAGAAGAAGAAGAAGAAGAAGAAGAAGAAGAAGAAGAAGAAGAAAGAAACAAAGAAGAAGAAGAAGAAGAAGAAGAAGAAGAAGAAGAAGAAGAAGAAGAAGAAGAAGAAGAAGAAGAAGAAGAAGAAGAAGAAGAAGAAGAAGAAGAAGAAGAAGAAGAAGAAGAAGAAGAAGAAGAAGAAGAAGAAGAAGAAGAAGAAGAAGAAGAAGAAGAAGAAGAAGAAGAAGAAGAAGAAGAAGAAGAAGAAGAAGAAGAAGAAGAAGAAGAAGAAGAAGAAGAAGAAGAAGAAGAAGAAGAAGAAGAAGAAGAAGAAGAAAAAGAAGAAGAGGAAAAAAGAAAAAAAAGAAGAAAAAAACAACAATAAGAATAGTCAATAACAATACGATGTGAAACCACAAGTAGAAAATGAGGACTAAAGAACAATGTACGAGTAATAAAAATCTCCGTGTGGGTTCCGGTACAGTGGCTTAAATCCCACCCCCCCACCCCCCCCCCCCCCCCCCCCCCCCACCCCTAATAAGCATTTCGTAAATTTGAGGAGTTTCCTTTGACGTCTAAGTTCATGTACCTAAAAAGTTTGCACATAAAAAGATATATCTGTTAAACGGATACGCATGGAAAACTCAATTTCTGAAATACAGTTAAAGTCTAGATGTGGACGAACAACCAAAACGTTCTAGTGGAGTTTAGAGCCAGTGAACGGTCTGATGAAGTATTTACGATATGATCTATATATAATTTACTGATAACTCAATCACGCGAACAAGACTAAGAACAAGAAAAATAACACACACAAAAATAACTAGGACAAACAAGAAAAAGGAATATCAAGAAACGTAAAACAACCAGAGGGAGAATAAAGACAAGTTGTCAGTAATGATGATACGCCCTTCACATAAGTCAATGGTAACACAATCGTCAGAGAATGGTGCCAAAAGGACACCAATGTAAGCCCTAACCAAGACACTTCCTGTAGCAACAAATTCTGGTTTCATGACTCGGATCCCTCAGGCTTGTTTGTCCTTTTATTTATGGCTTGTCTTCTGGGTGTCCCTGACACTTAAGATCTTCCATGCAGCCATTTCTTTTTGTGAACTACGAGTGAAAGAGAATGCTGTGGTGTCGTCTTTGTAAGGAGATCTATTATTCTAGCTTGCTGCAACTGGCTTGCACAGATGGCACGACGCACAGGTGTAGTCTATTGTTGGGGGATGAAATCTTGACTGCTGTGATCTTGGGGTGTCGGTTAGATATCGTTTTGTTAATTCGTGTTGCTGGGTGGTGGTCCTAAAGTTCACATTATGATTATTATTGTTATCTTCATCGACATCATCATTATCATCATCATTACCATATGCACAATCTTGTTATGGAAATTATAAGTCACACGGGCTTGGAAGTCTATTCCCTGTTACATCCTGTGCCTAAGAGCCGGCTGATAGATTGGCTGCTGCCGCCCTTCTGGGCGGTGAGCTACTTTACAGTAAAGGGTTCCTAGTGAAGACTTGCTGTGATCACAGAGAATCCTTACACGGAAGGACAATACAAGGGGCGGTAGGTAGAGGATTTTGAAATCATTCAACGCTGAACGGGAATCACATGCTGACTTTTAATCAGTTACTATTAGCATGTCTACTCTTTGTTTGCTAGTCAGGAAGGAGACGGGGCCCGTGTGGACATATCCCGAGTGCAACAGTGTCAGTTCTTCTGAGTTCAATCTGGTATCCTGTACAATGTCTTTCACTTAGTGCATACAACACATTCAAGCATCTTTCAACATCTCTAGTCAAGAACGTCTCAAGGCTCTTTTAGACTCCTCTTCTCCTCACTCTATTTGTTTCCCATCTCATTTAGCTATGGAACATCGCTTGAGCTAGGAGTTTTAGTTTTGTGCTAGCCGCACTGGGAAGAGAGGCTAGGCCATTTGATTATAGAATAAAACCCGGCAAGATGAAGTCGACGCTTTCGACTGTATACTTTCATGGTGGTCCCTAGTGGGTGGACACCATTTCC